GGCCCGGCCCAGCCCAGCCCAGCCCAGCTCGGTCCGCCCCGGGGAGGAGCCGCGGGCGCCCGGCCCGGCCGTCGCAGAGCCCGGCGCCGCTCCGCATTCCCCGCCCGGCGGCCGCCTCCCGAGCAGCGCAGCCGCCCCCGAGCCCACGGGATGAGCTGCCCCTTCACGCGCCACCCACCCGCTTGGGAAGGGTTGGAGTGCACGGAAGGAGAGGAAAACTTCAGTATTAACGGCGAGTGAAAACACACAAACAARCCATGCTTTGACTGCCATTCTTCCAGAATCCAGCGTGAGATACCTGATGGTTTGTTTGTTTTTCCCCTAAATAAGCACACCTGGCCGAAGTAGGGGTGAGAGAGAGTGGGACTGGCCCCACATCTCACAGCCACGAGGGCCAGCTCGCTGCATGGCTTTGCTCGTGCCAGAAAGGAGCTTGCTGCAAGTTGGAGTGAATCGGGCAGAGGGATCTCACCATAACTTATGTTAATGGACACTTGGTGTATCCATCACGTGGGTGTCATGAGGGAAAAGTTCTGTGGATTCTAACAGAAAACATGCAGGGCTCCCCCGGAACCTTCCTATCCAAGAAAGGTGACCCAAAGAGCTGCGGGGTATGAGTCCCTGGGCGATGGCTTGAGAGGCAGCAGTTCTAACATGGGAATATCACTCTGCAGGGACATGAAGGGTTTTTTTTTTTTCCTAATTAAAAAGCAAATGACTGTGCAGAGTGTGATTCTGGAACAGAAACTAACACAATTTAAGTAGTTTCTCTGTATTGTCCAGGCCTGAAAAAAGAAGGATTCAGCACAAGCTCCAAACACATGGTGATGCTGGTGACATTTTATTGATTAAAGATGACGGCAATCTGTCCCCAAGAGATGCTGGTAAATGAAATAAGTGCAATGCTCAATGTGTGTATAAAAATAGGAGTTACAATTAATTTAGTGCAACCTCTCTTGCAATACAATTTTCCAGAATCCTGAGTCAGTCTAAATGGAGGTCTGCACTGACCTCCCGCAAAAGGTATTCTGAAAACTGCTTCGGCATCCGCCCAGCAGACAGATGCATCACTGGACGATCTTGTGCTTTCGTCCTCTCCAGCATCTTTTTATGCCCTAAGGAATTTTGCATCAAAATTCTTTTGGAAGATATTTTACTTTAAGCTTAAAATTGGTTGCACTTAGCACACAAAACATACAGCTGTCTTTTACAAAGAATGGGAAGCTTAGATGTCCCTAGGAGACAGTTCTGTACCGGCGGGCTCCTTTTCTTGTTGCTACTGTGAGCTGTAATTAGCGTTTAAAAACACTGCAGTGCAAGCGAGAGACACTCTGTGATTGCCATTCCTGCAAACGTGGGGAGCTACACAGAAATGCCAGGATGTAGTACTAAAAAAGATCTGAAATCATAGAATCATAGAATGCCGAAGGTTGGAAGGGACCTCAGAGGTCATCGAGTCCAACCCCCCTGCTCACGCAGGGTCACCTAGAGCACGTGGCACACGGCTGCATCCAAGCGGGTTTTAAAGATCTCCAAAGAAGGAGACTCCACAACCTCTCTGGGCAGCCTGTTCCAGTGCTTTGTCACCCTCACAGTGAAGAAATGCTTCCCTAAGTTCCTGTGGAACTTCCGATGCTTCAGTTTGAAGCCATTTCCTCTAGTCCTATCACTGTCCACCACTGAAAAGAGGCCGCCCCCCTCCTCCTCACTGCCTCCCTTGAGGTATTTATACACGCTGATCATTAGCCATTTAGCTACTGTCCAACAGGCCAAGTCTTTCCACCACTATTTAAAAGTAATTTAAAAGTAACTTTAGAAATAAGGTGCTGCTGGTGGCTATTTTGTCAATGGAACTGGAAGAAAGGAGAGGGAAGATCTCCAGGGTTCTTCAGCACGCGGCACCTCAGAAAGCAGCGGGGCCGGCGCGGTGTCGGTCCCACAGAACCTGGGCAGCACTCCCTGGGTGCTAAGGCTGCCGAGGCCACAGAAAGGGAGATGTGTTTATAAACCACGGACACAGATGGACCTTGGTAAATCCTCAAGTTTTCAACAGACTTAGTCTCGTATGTCTGTCAATGCAAAATACTATATATTATTTTTCTTTCCAAGAGTAAAAGAGGGATAACTGCATGAAGTAGAAGACTTAGAGAAAGGTACATCTTGGTACTACTTGGCATCAAGTCTATTTTGAGGTATGAAACCAAAAGGCTGACCACCTTGGTTATAGAAAATTCACAGCCRCAGAAGCAGGGACAGCAGTGTTATTAATCCATTGTATTAATCCATTTCAGGTAATTCAACAAATTTCTCATCTATCCCCATGTTTTTCCTCATTTCCCTCTACCTCATTATTTGTACGATGCACAAACAATCTTAGTATGACTGCTTATCTGCATTAAAGCATCTTGATGCACATGTTTGTAAGGACGTAAGGACATGTGCTCAATGCTCGTGAGGTACAAGGACATATTTAAACATTAACAATTACTATGTGATCAATAACTACAATTAAATGTAATTGGTAATCACAGACAGAAGTCATTGCCCAGCATGAAACTTGCAGCACATGATTCTTTAAACAGTGTCTTCTAAATCAAGGTTTTAGCAACCCTCCTGTCACATGAGTGCATGGTACCTAATGCCCTTACTGGATATGATAAAAACATAGCATATAAATTATACAGAATACACTGCGCCTATCCACTTTGTACAATAAGTTATTCATAGCCGACAGTTTAGAGTGCTTTTTTAATATATTTTGTTTCAAGACAGATATCACCTTTGCAGGCACATGAATAAAGATGAACCAGAACCTCAATGTGTAGGCCTGTCAGTCTGTCTGGTACAACACTGCCATGTACCCGGTATTATCAATCCTTGGGTTCTCCACTCGCTTCAAAATAATATTGCAAATCCTGTGTGCCAAAGGCCTCATATTCCAGATACACTGGCAGGTGTAAGGGAGAAGACCCTTGCCCATTCACCTATAAATTAAATACCGACCGGAGGCCCAGGCAGGGCAGCGCTGACCCGCTGTCAAACCCCGCTGCATGTTCAGGGCCGGAGCAGGGTGAGATGGGCCCTTCCCGCGCTGCTGCCCYGCGCGCTCCGTGGTGCCAGGCTGCGCGGCCCAGGGAACGCAAGGGGCAAGCGGGGCGAGCAGCTCCAGCTGGTTGCTGCACCCTCACCTGCACGGCTGTCTTGCCTCATCAAGCCCCGAGAAGCAGCTGCCGCTCTGCAGCATTTTAACCAGCCATGTTTCTGACCCACAGAAACCTGGTGGCAGCACTGCTCAGCACCCGCTCTGGGCAGCCCCTACTGCACTCCTAAATCACATCTAAAGCAAAACTGCCCAAACAAAACATGAGCTGATGGACAACCCTAGACAGTCCCGCTGGGTTTTTTAAATATTGCAGCTAGTCAGATTTTAACTGGGCTTTCTAAAGGAGACTACACTATTTTTGCCTGCGGGTAATTAGCCCTCCAGGTTGTGGGAAGATCATCCTTACATTGTAAAAAAACACGACGAGAAAACAAAGAAAAATGACCCTAAAAAAAATCACTTCTAACACTATTCTTTTGCTTGCGTAAGATAACAGCTACAGCAAAGCACAACATCAGTAGCACCAGGAGGAAATGTCTCTACAACTTACTCATAGAAATTTAAACAATCCTACGTGCTGATTACTAAAACGCCTGTGCTGGCACATTACCACTCCCAAGCAAAAGCAAGCCAGGCGTTTCTCAACATTCCTGCATGGCCAGCAACATCCGCACTCTGTGGAGAGAGGAAGGGATGGCAGACAGATAACAAAGGCTCAGACGGGTTCCGGGGCAATAGAG